AATCGTAATTTTAGTGTTGATTTCTCGTCAAAGAAAAAGAAGTTTTTGCTCAAATTTTTTATTATTCGCAAAAAACCAAAAAGTTATTTGACTTAGCGATTGGCAATCGACTTTGGTCAAAAACTTGCTGAAAATCACTCAATTTTTTCTCCTACTTCTATTTTACAGTTTAACAAAAGTCATATAAACCAAAAAATTTCTGGTAAAAGATTTCTAAGTTATGTGATCTCAATATTTATAGGAAAACAGCCGATTTGGCTTAATCGGCTTATCCATTAATTGCCTTTTGATTGATTTTTATCGTGAGGGCCTATGGAAACAATGAATGCTTGCATGCAAGGTTTGCAAAATTACGCAAATCTATGGAACCATTAACTACTATTTTCTCGTAAAAATAGCTGATTCATTAATTTATTTCCAATAAATAAGTGTTATTGTTCTTTTTTTTTATCAGAAAATATTTTAAAACTTTCAATAACATTTCGAGAACTAAATAAATATCTTCTCTGAGGAAAATATTGGATCACAAGTCTTCATATTGTGGAAAATAATAAAGCAGCATGACGAGAGTATTAAATTACTTGTTTGCAAGAATTTATATTTTCTTTTTACTCGATTAATTAGTTCAGTTCAACTAATTATTTTTATTTAACTGAATAAATCAAAAGCGAAAGAAAAATTACATTCTGCTTTGCGCAGATATTTTCATGTATTATATAATTTATTAGATCTCCGTTTTTTTTTGAAATATTCTTTGAAGAGTTGTTTCCCACGATATTTCAATTTATTTAATCAATGTTGTATTAAAATGATTTTATGCTCCATAATGTTTTAGTTTCGCTGGAGAAGTCTTGCTCTATCGTACCAATTTCCCAAAGGAATTCCAATATAATCATCTAAATCACGATTTCTCAATGCCTTTTATTTATTGTTTAAATTTTTTTCAACAGTTTATTCTAATTAATTCTTGTAATTTAAGTGGTTTAAGTAAAACAAGCATAAAATTTAAGTAGTCAATCTTAAATTTAGTTCTTTTCCAATTTTTTTCTCCACCCATTAGCAAGTAAACTAATAAATGCTGAACACTAAGATGAGATGAATTTTTATCCGCGAATCACTTCATAACAGATTTCAGAGTGTCGAAACTAAGGTTTATTCTTAGCAGAAATAATTCTATCTTCCAAAAAATGCCGGACAGGTAACAAACTGCTGCCACCACTTGTATTCTATTACCTGTATTCTATTATAATAGATTAGCTGGCAAAATCACTCAGACTAAGTCAGCACAGCGAGCCTAGCGATAAATGCTCTTTAGAAAAAAGTACGAGTGGATCTCCAGCATCAACTGGATTTTTCATGAAAGGTCCTTAATTCTTGTCGGAAGCACCGAACCCTGATGTTCTAGTTACTCCGCTATTCTGGCTCTCAACATAGGCAGTATTAAGTAATAATATATAAGTATAGAGAAATATTAATGTTAAAAAATACACAAAAAATTTGGAAAAATTGAAAATTTGGGTTGGGAATGAATTTCCCCAATAATTTATATGCTTATAAAATAAGCACGTTTTTGATTTCAACTTATTTTCTCATTTTTATTCTCTTTATGTATACATTTATTAAAAATCTCATGATAGACTATGATAAATTGTGCAAATTAATCAATTTTCCAAATTGCTCGAATTTTTCGATTGCTTTTCGTTATTTTCACTTCAATTTTATGTCACTTGAATTCTATAATTAAATTTCCAATTTTAAAAAGCCAGAAAGCATAAAAGAAAATTGTGGTGATGAGCAGTTGGATTATTTTCCGTTATTTGTTGAGAATATTTCGTCGCGAAGGATTTTAAGAAATTTTCTAGTTAATCTCAACAGTGAAAGAGTTTCAGCGAGCCTGTAAAGAAGATTGATATTGTATACTTATATCTTAACCAGTGTTCTTTTTTTTCTTTGAACGAAAAAAATTGGACTAAAGGATTGATTTTATGGGAAGCGTACTGCAAAGCACTGACGGGTTAGAAAATTTTAATATGGAACTGCTTCAACTTTTGCTCAAAATTTTTCGTATGTATGTATATTTCACTGTCAAATTTATAGAAAACCGGATGCGATTTATTTTTGCCTCATCATTTTTATTGACATTTTTAAAATGCCAATCTCAGTCCATATGGTCGTTCTCGAATCATTTGACCATCTCAGTTGCCCATTTATTTTTTTCATTTAACGGGATTTTCTTTAATATTTATTAAGGATTTAAAAAAAAACGCTTAAAATTCTGATAATTTTAAAGTTTATATGTAATAAAATATGAATGTTTTTGAAAGCTTTTATTGCTTATTTTTGATTTTATTAATTTATTATTATTTTGATTTTACTATTAATTTTCTTATTATTATGCCAGGAAATCCCTTATTTGCACAAGTATATGTGAGTCGCCAGCATCATCCAGGTTTTTCTGTTTTACTTCTACGCGAAATAAAGCATCGATACTCCAAATCGAGCAACAACCCACTGAGCGGTTCTGGTCCTTTAAGACGGATTAAGACCGATATTGTTTAACCTTGTAATTTGGAAATTTTAAAAAATTGTAATTGTAAACGAGTTTTTTGTTTAATTAATCTGAAAAGCAATACTAAATAAAGAATAAATCTGAGGATAGAAACAAATATATGCCTTTCATATCCACGCAAATTTTAATTAGATTTTAATGGCAGGTTCATCCTCGAAAGAAAAATATAAAATAAAAGAATAAAATGTTCGAGGAAAAACTGCAAAAATTATTAATTATTTCTTATTTGCCACAATTTCAGGATGCGTCGAACTCATTTCTTTTCATTTAAAAATTTTTATTGTCTTGTGATAAAATTTAAAAAATTTCTCAATTTTATTTTATCCAGTGTTGCTAATAGCCTGAGTGGTCGTTAAAATATCACCATCCAACAAAAAGGAAAAGAAATTTTTACTTTTATTAGCCTTGTTTTTCCGTCACACCTTTTTTGTTCATCCTGCTTAATGTGTATTTGCTTCAATAGAGAGGTTTTTAAAATGATAAAAACTGGAAAAAAAATGTAAATGTGTGATTTCAAATCATAAAAATAACATAGAAATAAGTTCATTTTATTCCACAAAGAGAAGGAATTTTTTCCCTAAAATATTTTTTCCAAAAAATTAATTTTAATCTATGATTTTTTTTTCGGAAAAAATTTATATGCAATTTTTCTGAAATGTGATATATAGAAAGTGAAATCATATTAAATTGCTCATAACTTGGATTGTTAAACAGTATCTTTAAGGTGGATTTTTTAGAACATTCACTTGATTTCATCAATTCTTAGGGAATATCCTCATGGATATCCTCAGCGCTTTCCTATTATCTTCAACATAAATACGCTTAAAATATGGCAAAATCGATTTTGTTACATATTATTTAAAATTTTTTAGTAGAAGCATTATTGATATTGCAAGAAAGCATGAGTAAAAGGTTAAATTATCATTTCAAGCATCGTGGTTGAGACCTCTTTCTCTGATATGGCTGAACTAAGTATATCACTAAAAAATCTAAGTACTTTAGAATACATCTACATTTCTATCCCCAAATTATTCTCTAATATTCTCTAATAAAATTTCTGAAAGATTCAGCGGACCCAGAAGAAATCTGAGTGCTTGCAAATATAAATTTTGCTCGTTGGTGTTAAATCACCTACGAATAGATATTTGGACATATTTGATGCTACAAAATCTTCATATATCTTAATCGAATATTCTGTTTCGTAAACACTTTCAAAAAACAAAATAATAAAAAATAATTATTTTCATTTTTAAGCATAAAGTACAAGTAAAAGTAAAACATAGAAATTGTCAAATTTCAAATTGTCTTTTATTTAAAAGTTTTTTATTTCCACTTTTCATGCGTTTCTTTTAAAATCGTGTGATATTTGAACCGATTTAAAATACACGAAAATATAAAATTTTTATGTTTATTATTATTATCCTTGATTGTTGCCTTTGCATATAATTTAACGATTGTCGGATGGCAATATTCTGGATGATAAATGGTTTCTATTCCCTGTGTGATGATCATCAATGGTCATCTATGTTTTAAAGAATATAAACATCTTCAAAAGACTATTGTCACAATTCCATGTCAGATTGCTTATTTCTCGTTATTTGAATTTTCTGCATTCTATTATCATCATAAATTTTCCATTCTGCTATTTTTTTGATTTTTTTTTTCCTAGTTTTCGAAAAAATTATGAAAATTTCAAAAGTTTATTTTAAATAAAGCTTATATAAAGTTAAAATTAAAGTTTCTGAATAAAGTTTCTAAACAAAATTCTAAATAGTTATTCTGGTGGTTCAAGCAAAACAGTTGTTAATAAGGTTAAAGTTCATCATTTTTCGTTAGGGTAGCTCAATTGGCTGAATTTTTACCAAAGCATTACTTGACTGGTGGATTGCTTCCACTCAAATTTTAATGAGATTTTGCACATCGGGAGTAAGAGCTGAACCTCTCAACAAGATAAATAATCGGGGCTATTTTGTTAAGTATACGAAAGCAATTGTGAGATAAAGAACTGATCATCTGACTTCTGGTTCACTGTTAAAATATACTTTAATATACTTTAAATATACTTTAAATATACTTTAATTAAATATACTTTAATATACTGTTTAAATATACTTTAATTTCTCTCGAATTTAATGCTTTTCAATTTTTGGATTTTCCTTTCCATTTTTCAGCAATATTTATTTTTTCTATTCTAATTCCATATATGAAAAAAAAATTTGATGGGTTTTTTTCCAATTAAGAAATTTATTTCTAGTAATCTATGCTTTTTTAAAAGCAAATTTGCCAGTATAATTATCATCCTTAAAATCCTTTTTTTCTTTTTTTCCCAACATTTTTAAAGCGATATTTTCATGTTAATTTGTCGTAATAATTTTGATTATATGAAATAAGCAGTTAGAAAGTTGCAATAGCTAATCATTCATTTGTTAAGATGCGAGATTATGAAGAAATCGAGATACGCGGAGAACGCTGTGTTGAAACGCAAACAAGTCCGATAAGTTCGGAAAATGAGGAGCAAGGTTTCAGGTAGATCATTTCAATCCTGCCATATGATCATTTCAATCTTTTTCATTCTTGGCAATGTTGAACAAGTTCATAAATTTAAGCAATTTTATTCAATAGATGTAGTACCGATGCTACTAATGATTCTTCTCCTCTTCTCTTCTTCCTCTGACTAGTATTATCTGAAATTTTTTAAACATAAAGTAAACTTGGTGTAGAAATATGCATATGTCCTCAACATCATCACCTGCATTATTGGTTATCGATATCTCCTTTACCTTAATACAATATGAAAAAATTTTGATTCTGAAAAAATTTTTAAATAATTTCTGATTTATATTTTACTATTAAATTTAGAAGATCTTATCAATAAATCTTATTACCACCGTACTTAGATTTTTTTTTCGCAGAGTTTCTTTAAAAGATAATAAATTTTAATGAATATTTTTCTAAGAAAATCATTAGAAATTGTTGATAAATAAATTTATAAACAAATTTGTCTTTACATGAATTTAATAGATGAAAAAGAAAGTAAGAAAGTTCGAAAGTAATCAAATATAAAATGAACAAAATGAAGTAATTTGAGCCATAAAATTTTGAAATTTTTATGAGATAAACGATTTAATACAATTCGATTTAATTTGTTATCACGATTTTTAGTTTTATCAGAGTCAAGCATCGAAATATGTTGCTTGAAGTGATAATCATCCACCATTCGGTTTTGTTCAGTTCTGATCGAAAATTCGTTCTTTTGCTTCTCTTCATAAAATATGAACTAAATTCAAAGTGGTTTAACGAAAGGAAACTTTTTTATTACCAAATTTTTCTTAAAATATTTATATTTACATTTAATATTTTTAGCGAACAAATGTACGATTGTTTTGTTGGAAATAATGGATTAAATAATGTCGAATACGAGGTTAATTTTTAATTTAATTTTTTTATTTTACTGCAAAACAATATTTATTTAGAATAAGTAATTTATTAATGAATTATGAATGAATTTATTAATGAATTATTAAAATCACTCACAATTTGAAATTTTTTTCGGCATTATTACTCGTCGGCTTCCTCATTAAATTCTTTCCATTAAATTTTGATTTAAACTATTAATTTTTGTTTACATATTGATATTCATAATTCTTATTTATATTTATATGTATGGTTTATATGACAAATTCTCGCGATTATAAAATTTTAAAATATCAAAATATCAAAGTAAGGTGATTTATTCAAATAACTAATTTAATTTAAGTACTCAGTTAGCACAAAATAATGCAATGTCTGACAAATATAGAATTCCATCTAATGAAAATACTCGGTTTTTAATCCAATTTTAATATTAATTTCAATACTAGAAAATGCTATTTTTTTGAAATATAACTTCTGTTATAAACCTTTTATTACTTATTATGCTCTTTGAAGACGGTTTGCAACAATATTTTATTTTCTTCATCTGCAACAGGCGATTGTTTCAGTAAATGAGAGATAAATTCTAAGAATAACTAAAGCACCTGACTGAATTTCATTTTTCAATACTAAACTGGCTGATTGAATGCATTGATTTTAAGCATATATATATATTTATATATTCGCTCTCTTAATTTAGCATAATCCTGTGAGATGCATTTATTAAAATTTTATTACATATTTAATTTCTAATGATTACTGCACTTTATCTAATGGTGATGATAATGATGATAACGATGATAATAATGGCGACTGCGATTCTATAAATTTGTGGTTTAATATTTTAAAAAATTGTTTCAAGCTGGAAAGTTTGATTTTTTTGAATTATAAATTGTAAGTTTAATTGTAAATTTTAAAAAAAAAAATTGTTTAGTTTCTGTTGAACGATAGTATTTTTTAAAAAAATTTGAAAACATACGAAAGCAGAATATTCAACAACCAGTCTGTATTTAGAATTTTTCAGTGAATTCTTTACCTACTACATTTCCATATTTTTTTAAAATTTAAAATTTCCGGAATTTATTTTTATCTTTACATATATATCTTTTTCTCCTAATTATATTCACCATTTCCGATTTGATTTTCTAGAATGAGTCGCTTTTAGCAGGAAATCATCTGAATAAAAAATTAAAGATAAATCCTCTGTATCACTCGGGTTTCTCTCGTCATGACAGGCTTTTTGTATTAAAAAAGAACAGAAATCGAACCTATGTCGCTTGAGCTTAGTTGAGCTTAGTTGTGTAAGCAATGCTTTTTGACTAAGAGAAGCGATAAAAAATAAAAAATTGATATAATAGTAATAAATGCATTTAAAAGCAGCAATTTAAAAGCAGCAACTGTTATTAGCAAAGGCTAGTGGACATTCACTTATATATTTATTTATTTTCCTACCGATTCTTTTTAAATATTTATGTATTTGAATATATTTAAACGGCCTTTAATAAACTCGATCGATGAATTAAAAAATGGATTTAAACTGCAATAAATGCTTAAATTTCAGTTGCAGAAAAAAGAAAAATTCTTTCACAAAAAAAATTGAATCAAGAAGGTTTCTTTCCATAAAAAGAAACCTTTTTGGTTTTAAATGAAATAAATCATTAGATCGAGTTATTTAAATCAGTTGATATTTAATAATAAATTGGCATTGTAGGTACATATTTCAGGAAGTAATCTTAAAAAGATCGAAAGTTGTACCTCGTTTAGGAATAACTTTATGCTATGGATCAGCGGACGATAATGACACTGATATATTTATTAGCGAAGTTTTTTTTTAATATTTTGTTTTCTTTCAATTCTGTGGAAGCCCCTTGTTTTTTTCTAAAAATGGTATAATGTCAGCTTCCTTACAGTCAAGGATTCCCTTTATATTTTTATCGTACTATTTAGTATTTATTACTTGATGAGTTTAGATAGAGCGTGGAAGTATAGCAGATCAAGACGGTCGTCTTCGTCCTGGTGATCAAATCCTGCAGGCAAATTTTCAATAAAATTTTCGTTAAAACTATTACTTTTTGCTTAACTTGCCGTTTTTAAGACAAATAATATCGGATAAATATATCGGATAAATCAAGTCAATGTTAGAAAGATTGATTACCAAATTTCAGGTGAATGGGGTCTCAATTCATAGTCGTTTGGATGCAATTAAACAATTTCATTCAAATTACAACGAAACTTCAATCCTATTAGCGAGAACTATAGAGGTATTATATAAAATTCTGCAAATTTGCCACAAAATTGCAAAAGATTTTTCTTTTATTTTATTTTTCTCCCGTTAGGAAATTTTACTTACTTCTTACTTTAAAAGCAATTTAGAAGCTTCGCATTTCGCATTTTATAACGATTAGTGATCTTGAGAAAATATAGCAAAAATTTCCAATATTATTATTATCAATAAACCTATAGGATAGAATTTCCGTTTGAAATTTTCGGCTATTTATTAGTTGTTTTGTCTTAAATAAATAAATAATAAATTATAGGCTATAAACCCAAATGAATTATCGTATAACAACAGCCTTAATGTTTTTTTTCTTTGGTCAGCTGTTGTATCACTCATATATTTTGCAAACACTCGATAAACCGTTTAGCCGTTTCGATTATTCATAATCTAATTTAAATGTATTCTTCTTCTTCAAATCATTTCTGGTTTTGCTGACTATTCATTGACTGCGAAGATTAGGCTGTGGATTTTTTCACAGAATCACTTGTGGCAAGAAGTATTACCAAATCACGAGCATATATTTATTATATTGCAATTTTTTTTATTATAATTTTCCATTAATCTTCCACTCCTTTCATGTTGTTAAATGAATTTTACGATAACCGAGGTATAGAAATCAAAGGAATGAAGTTACTTGAAGATAGAAGTATCGGTGGATTCTCAGCAGCAACCGGATTTTTTGATAACACTTTTCTGTCAGATTTCATTTCATCTCGATGTTCAAACGAATGATGTGAGCAACAGCCAAGAAATTTTTACAAGAGCTCTGCTTAGCACCATTTTTTTCCATTTAGGCTTATTTTTTGTTAAAAACCTGTAAAAGCTTAATTTTCTTTCTTTCTTTCTTAATCGAAATCATTTATTTCATATTTCATATTATTTATTTCATATTTAGCGATAATTTCACTCGTATTTGATGGTATTTGTCTGATGGCTGATGTAGAGAAAACAAAAAAAAGTATTACAGCAATTTTAAATTTTTGCTCCCGAATTGATCTTTACTGGATGATAATTGCAGATATAATAATGAAACGAAATGGACACATTAAAATATTTAAGGATATTTAATGGACACATTAAATATCCTTGATAATAAGGAATAATAATTAAAGTCCCATTCTACCCAATTAATATTTCTCTTTTTTGCCGGATCTTTTCATCAAACTACCTAAAAATTCTCTTATTCCACATTTCATTAAGCGAAATCACTAACCACTAGCGATGGATTGTGTTTCTATCTGGTTTATTGTGACTGAATAACTTTAATGAGATCCCTTCTCATTTTCTTTTAAGCAGTAGGAACCAAGATTACTAGCATCAATATTTGGTACTTACTTGCTATCCTAAATGAGAATGTCACTTAGAAGGACTAAATTAGAAAGTAAGAAATTGGCTTAAAGAACCGCTTATTGATAATTTTAACCTTCTTTATTCTTTGTATAATTCTATTTTTAGAGATTTATCAGTAATAATATATAATACGAATCTTTTTATCAAAAATTTTTATTAGAACATTTGTAGTGGCTATAATGGCTATAGTTCAGATCTTCCTTATTTTTGCTCATTTCTCTTTTATATATTTTAATAAAATTATCCATAAAATCAGGAGTGAATTTTTTAAAATAGATTATTTTTTTTTAAGCGGAACGTTTATTTTCGGGTAAATTTAAGCAAATTAGCTATCTCAAATAAACGTCAAGAATTGATTGATTATAGAATTTAGTGATTTCTGACATCTTAAATCAGTGGATATTCACATTTGAAAGATAGTCTTACTTAATTCACTTTTACCAACTAATGGATTTCAAAATTTTCATCTGCGCCGCTGATTGTTGCTGAAATTTTGAGTTTTTTTACTCGCAGCAATTATCTTCACTACAAAATTGTAATAATAAAGGCTTTTTGCAGATTTTATTGAATAAAATCGAATTTCAAATTTTATATTCTCAAACGTTTTACGGAAAATAATCGCCCATTTCTGTCGAGAATTGACTTCATTAATTCGGTATTGTTAATAGATTGACGAGGTTTAATGCCGTCTAAATGAATTTAGCGGCACCTAGGGTTTGTACAGTTATCTTTTTTTCTTTTAATAGCTCTCTCCATTACTTAGGCTACGCTGGTTAAAGGATAAGGCGTCTCCAAGCTGTTTAATCTTACGCCACTGTCGACAGTAATAAAAGCCATTCGTTTTTCCATCGTTTAAGTCTATATATTGCTAGCCTACCTATTTATAAAATCTTTCCTGTATCAGTCCAGGTTTTGAATGGCCCTTCTCGCTTTTGAAGCCATACATCATAGGTATTAGCAAGTAAAGAAATATGTCAATTCCTATGGTGGGCCCTAATCAGCGGTGGCGACACTGTATACTGTTGATGTACATGTTAACTGAGCGATGGCGGATGCAATCATGTGAGATTTTATCCACTTAGCGAACTTGAAAAATATATTTATATTTTAGATCTGAGTGGTTAAAGATAGATGTCCACTCTTAATAATATCCTCCACTTCTTAATATCCTCCACTCTCATTGGCCATGTCTCGCAGCTATATGGCACGATTGTGTCTATTATCCAGTCTATCGCATTGTTGAATATTATAGAGGAAAGGACGCAACCTCAAAAGGAAAGCAATTCTTATTTTTCGAAAGAGTACGTCAGTTCCTCATATAAATAGATCTGTAACCATTATGCTGATAAAATGCCCTTATGAGTCGAATGATCTTCTCTGGAACACTGTCGCTTTCCATCACCCTCTAAAGCGCCGTTCCATCAATTGAATCGAAGGCAGCGCAGAATCGATGAAACACATAACGGTGGATGGCCGATATTTGAAGCGGTATTCCAATCCTTCTTAATGTGAATATCTGGTCAGCGCAACCACGCCTCGGCTTAAATCCAGTTAAGGGCGCATCCTGCTGTCCCGTATTTCCATAAGTCTATGAGTAAAAGGGTAGCAAAAGTCTCTTTTTGAGACGTCTGGCAGGCTGATTCCTTGATAATTGTCGCAATATGTCCCATCACTCTTGGGAATTAGGAGAAGTATTTTGTTTCAATCATCTGGTATTATTTCTTTCTTCCATAGCAAAGAATACGTTTGTGATATGAAAAACGATGGATAACATTCGAAGAGTTCGACCCCGAAGACCATCTTCTCCAAGAGTATTATTGGCCTTAAGCTTCTGGATGAAGAGATTATTTCCTGTTCTACTGGCGACAAACATATGGTCCGACGAACCAGTCACGTGTTCGGGACAACAGATGGTGTCGTGGTTTAAGTTTGGCTTTAAAGAATTCCAATTATCATCATTTGCTTCAGGGAATACTTGTTTCAACATAATAATTGCAAGATTTTAATATTTTCGTATCATTATTCGTGTCTTTTCCAGATATTTAGTTTTAAACAAATCAATATTATTAAATTTATACCATTCTTAATTGATTATTTGATTATAATATTCCCAATTGTCTTATGGTCATTTATTTCATTTATCGAATTAAGTTAAGCCTTAAAGGATAAAATGGCTCACAGTGGGCTATTGCAATTCAGAGAGCTGGTGTTGACGTTCTGCTCCTGTTAAGTTTAAATAGGTCTTTCAGAAAATGTATTGGAACTTCTCACTTGTACTGTTACCAAATGATTCCCTGACAAAAGTTGGCCCGACAACCACGCTGAACAAGCCTAATAGAAATGCTAAAAAAATATTAACCATTGTCTTTCATATCTTTAGAAAAAAAAACAAAAAAATAAACTGGACTAAGTAATAGACTGGATAAGTTCATAGAAATTACCTTCTAATTCATCGAGTTCCTAAACTTTTTTACGCCATTCTAAGTGCAATGAACCGCATAAAATAAAAAAGTTGTCAAAAATAAAGACATGTGAAAGCAAGCTTTTATAATGTAATGTAATATACATATTCATATAAAAATGCCCATCCACTCTCTTGGTGATAGATACGGTGGTCTATTGCCTATATTCACGATTGAAAGAAGATTAGCGAAAATAAATTTGTGAATTTTTCCCACTCAATTCAAGGAAATAAGTCCAAAGATTCCATGGATTCTATCATGAATTCCAAAGGTATATATGTTTGCAGTTTCTCATTTGGTGTTCCAAACTTTTTATCACTGCTATGGTTTAGAATAAACATTACTTTAAACAATAAACATTTTATTACAATAAGTGAAATATTTTATTATAATAGGTGAACGCATTAAATTAGGTTATAAGTCTACAATAATGGACTAAAATTTTCAGATCCGCTGTCTAAATCTTCGTTTGTTGTAGAATTCTAATTAAAAATTAACAAAGCAGTATAGCAAGAATTAACGTGCAGTAAGTTGCTGCTTTTACTACAGTTAACTTAATTGATACTATGCCACAATAAAATCTTATGACAAGATTTTTTGACATTACAAGGCAATATTATATTACAACTGTTATTTTGAGTTAAACGATTTCAGTTATCTTATTTATGCATGAATAATAAATGAATGAATGGATATGCATGAAAAATTTTTCATATCTGAATTTTCTATCCCTGCACTCCCTAAATTTACAATTGCTGAAACTGTATTTCTTCATCTTAGCGATTTGCTAAAATATGTTTGTTTACTTTAGTATATCATAGTTCCTTTATAAATGATATTCACGACGCTAAATCTCTTCGTTGATGTTTTATAAGGGAATTATATATCGGCAAAATTTTGTTGACCTTTTGACCATTTGTAATTAAATTTCTAAGAGAATGTATTGTAAATAACTGCATATGCTACCTACTATAATTCATAGTTGTTTGGAAAATTTCTTTCATTTTCATTTATAGCTATTCACAACAAAATGCTGATTTTCTCTTATTTTTAAGGAAATACTGGAAAATAAATTTGAACAACTTTGAAAATAACAATATTTAGTATAAATTTGTTGTCGACTGGTTTTTATCTGGAGTAACAATATGGCTCTCATCTTTTTTGATAACATCAAATTGATCACCTTTACATGATGGATTAAGGAGGGCAGAATGATAATTGATCTCAACTTTGATAAGAAATATCGATAAATCAGTTTAGAAAATTTAGTTCAGACTATATATTTATGATTTATATTATTTATAATCATAAACGTTGATTTAATTTAAAAATTTTATGTTAATTTTTCAGTAGGGCTTCTAATTCACCTAAATATATAAATAATCACTTTTTCTATTCAATGATACTGCTGTTTGATTTCGATATTTCTTGATGTTTTTGCCATGAGATATTTTTAATTAATATTTTTAATTAATATTTAAATCAAACTAAATCTATTAAACTCCAGTTCACAATTGGATTAACAGAGAGTATATGCGAAAGCATCTTAAAGCTAAAATGTCAGCAATTAAAGAAATCCTAAGAATAAAAAAGTATAATAAATAATTTGCATTAAAGGTAACAGAAGAAGAAGAAAATTTGGTAGAAGAAGCAAATCGGAAAGAAACGTTGGAAAAAATGAATGGTGACGACAAAGAAAGTTATAACGATGTTAATTCGAGTAATTCAACTTTCGAAAAGGTTTGTCTATTTTTAATTATTTTCAAAATTTGAAAAATTTAATCGACAAAAAAGTTTAATTCCAATTTTTTTAAAAATATTTTTTAATCAAGGCTCTGAAAAATTTGTTAAAAAATAAGAATTTTTAGTTTTTATTTGGAATCTTCCATTATAAATGATTAATTGTTGAAAGATTTGATAGATTTGAGGTTATTTTTATACATTATGTATTGCATTCAACCTAAAAAGTTCAAAATAATGGAATAAATATTTTTTATAACAGGATTCGGGCCTATCAAGAGCCACCGATTCGGATCCAGAAGTACTTCCTCCACCGATTCGTAGTCGCAGCCAATCGCCAAATATATCCATATCAGTAAAAGAAGAGGATTTAAATTTGAGGCGGTAATAAACTAATCCTAATTTTATGAGAAATCCATAAGAATCAGAAAAAATCGTCGAACAATAAAATTTCCCTGAAATTATTGCAACATAATAATTACTTTGTGAAATTTTCACATTACAATAAATTTTAATAAATTTAATAATAATGCTAAATTTTTTTCAATTGTTTCCCACAAGTATACTAACTGTGATATAAAAAATTTATTTGTTCGACAAGTAGCATCCATAGAAATATTAAGGTGGACGAGTGATATGTCATTAGAACGAGAACTTGCTTCCTTACATAGGGAAATGGAAGCGATTCGAATCGAATGCGATCGACTTATATCGAAACATAATAACGCTGAACATCGAGTTGCTAATGTTCGAATTTGGTTTTAAATTTCTTAGAAATCGTGTTGTCGCTTTAGGAGGAAATTTTGAGTCTAAATCATTTCAATATACAAAGCAATTTATTCACAAATGAAATGACTCAAAATATTTTTATGAATTTGTCTTAATGAATAAAAATAAAAACGAGGAGTTCAGATGATTGAACCAATTTTGTCACCAATTAGTGATTGTAAGAAACTATTCGAGTGTAAAATTGATGAGACATCAAGTGCTTATAATACAGGAGGCGAATCCAGTCGAAGTACTCCTATGAAAAATGAATATGCTCGCCCTGTATATGCAGCGTAAATTTATTTTATTTCTTCCATAAATTGACTTTTATTCAATTATTTGTTTAAGTTTATCTTATTCTATTGTCACAGTTCGAGTCGAACATTGTTTCGATTGAGATCAAGCATCAATGGTTTAATTTGCCTCTTGATAGAATAAATCTGTCCTTAAAAATGGAATGAAGTACGGGTGATGTTGGGGACGCTGCTTCTTGTCCCAAGTCTCTGACGGATGGACTTTAGTGGTCAGTGGAAGCATTCAAAACACTTGGGATTAACTAAAGTCATAAGTGATATATTTTAGAGAAATTATAGCCGGTTAAGCATTCTAATTATCCACTTTATTTGAATTTCGTTTATAAGAGGACTAATCCGCCTTTAAATATCATAAAAGATTATCTGAAAAGGTGATTTTTTTCATTTCTTTCATAAACTATAATAATATTGCTTATTATTTTTGTAGTTATTAAAATTCTATGAAATTCTCTAGAGAAGTTAAAATGTCGAGTAACGCTGATACGGAAGGCATTTACTATAAAGTTGAACAGCCATGCCCAAAAGTTCAAAAACAACAGAATAATTTTCCTTCGACATCGAATTCAAAGATAAAATTTAGGTAAAATTAAAATTTGTCGTTTATGTAATACTTACTTTTCCGTTGAAAATTTTTTTTTCAAAAATAAATATGATAAAAAACAATGGTTTACTATTTATTTACTTTTATTTTAGCCAAATTTTATTTTAGCAAGCAAATTTTTAAATTTTCATCTATTTATTGTTCCATTATTATTTTGCATAAATATTTTAGAAATTTTTTAGATATTAAATAATCAGTTAATTTATGTGATGATCGAAGAGCGAATGCTAGAATGCTAATTACGTGGCACATAGTTTTTTCATAAATTCGTAGCATTGGAATAAATTGCCTGTTTATATTAAATTTTTGCACTAACAGTGCCTAGTTTTGGAAATAAATTAGATATAATTATTTGTAACGATGCTTAGCACTTTAGCACAGCCTCACTCAATCTTAACTAATGTAATAGTGCGTTTTCAGTTTTTTTCTATTTTTACTTTTTTATATTATTTTATTGATATTTATTGATGCGTCCTTATCATTAACTCAGGAATTAAAAGTTGCTTGGCCCTCCTTTTTTTAAACAAAATAATATGGCTTTTATAATTTCGCTAATTCAAAATAAAAAATGCATAATTTAGGTTGCCACAATATTCATTTGCTTTTCGCGAATCCAACCAATCGAAAATTAAATCAAATGTTAAATTTGCTGAATGCGAAGAATTATTAAAAAATGGGTATCATTATTTTCATCTTTTGTATCATTTCAAAAAATTTAAATTTATTCAAATCAATTTAAATATTTAAAAAAATCACAAGAAAAACCAAAAAAAATGATTTGTTAAACTTAGCATTAATTAAAATATTAAATAAAATTCATTACATTATCGACCTGTTTTTTTTTATTATTTTTTTGCATATCTCTATTTCATTATATACAACCATTATTACAGATTTGACGTGGAACATAGTGACGGAGATTTGATATATATAGAAATGAGAATTTTGAGATGAATGAGATGAATGATGAATGAAATTTTATTATAGAAATGAATAAGAGATGTCATATTGCTTCATACTACTTGCTAAACTACTTATTTGCTTTAATATTAAATAAACTAAGATGGATAGATCAATTTACAAAAAATATAAATTGAAGTTATAAACTGGGGACGACAATGTATACTTCTCCGGATAAACTCGCTGAAACCATAGCTTTTCAACAGAGGTTACTACGACAAGCAATGGTTGAACAGGCAAATATGTTAAAACAACCAAATAATATCGATAAAAAAAAATCCAGAGAGGCTTCGGAATGGAAGGTATGCATTTTTGGACTTTTCCAAAAAATTTGGCAATTCTTAAATTTATAATTTGAAATTTTTAAATTTTTCTTAAATTTGCATTCGAATATAGCTAGCTGGCTGATATCCACGATTGCAATGGATAAAAATGGATTTTTGTTTTCATCCACGTTACATCAATGAGATTTAGTAAGTACAAATACAATTAAAGCGGCAAAATTTCTGAAACAATATGGCATTTGTTGCTGAATTCTTAATTAATTGGTGAATTAAATTAAGATTAAAAGACGATCTGATGGAACAAGGTACATAACAAAAAGACCAACCAGGCATCGTTTGTTAAAGGAACGCGAAGAACAATTAAACAGGGTTTTTTTAAAAATAAGCAGTAAATTAAACTGAAATAGATTGTTTACTTTATTTGTTTAGAAATTATACTGGTATATAAATAATAAATATTTTAAGATGCGAATTTCGATAATTACAAAGAGAAAATTTTACCGAATTATTAACAATTAAATAAAGTTATAGAAATAAAAATAAAGTAAATAATAAATAAAGTTCAGGAACGAGTAAGTACTGATGACGATGCAATGAGTGAATTAAAATTAGGCCGATATTGGACTCGTGAGGAACGAAAAAAGCATATGGAGAAAGCCAAAGAAAGGCGCTTAAGGCATCATCAAACACTTGCTGAAAAATGTCGCCAGCCAGCCGATCAGGTTGTTATTCTGATTTTAAAAGTTCATTGGAGTGCTCGAGTGGTGTAGTATTTGTGAGATCTTTTAACATTAAATTGTCATTAAAAACCGAATCATAATAGTGAGTCACCTACTCTTCTATTCCCAAATGACCCTATGGCGACGAAGAACTAGAAGCCATTGAAACGGGCCAAATTAAAAATGGTGAGAGAGCTGTCTGAGCTGTTTTTTCCTATTTCTAAATTTAATAATTAGATTTAGAAGAATCCTAGCTCGATTAACTATTGGAAAAGAAATGTGCATCAACTGGGATTGCCTATTTGCTATTGAATGTGCAATTATTAAGTAGATAAGGTACCATTTTTGCATGCCATGCCAGGTTTACGCCAGGCTGGCAAACATTTAACCTTCTTAGCCTTCTTTTTTTAACAGCTAGCATTGTTGCTTAAATGTGCTATAACAAGTAGTGCTTCTAAGACCCTCGCTCCGATACTATTTCTGACCATAACCGATTGGCTGTTTCCTTTCAAATGCGACCTTTAAACTGCAATCATAAATCCATTTGAAATTTATCATCACTGCTTAATAAATCAATTTTCACCTCACTTTCTGTAATAAAATTATACTGGCAATTTGTTTGCAGATGATTGTTCAACTGTCACATAATAAAATGATGCGACGGAAGGGGCAATTATTATTTGACAAATTTACAACAGTGCAAGAATTCCTCGCGCACGGTAATCGTGATCCATCAAATCCTTTAAATGATGGTATCTTATCAGTTACAACTGTATAATCAAGATCTACTTTACTAACATTCACCAATTGCCAATTTATTTCCTTCTCAGTAATCAGTGTCGAGTAAATTTTTAACTGATTTCTTATTGTTTCCATGTTTTCGTAAAAAAATTAGAAAAGTTATGAAATTTAATTAATTAAAGTAGTAAAGAAATAATGAATTTCTTGCAAAGATTTCCGGATAGATAAAACCAACAATAGAATAATTGGAAATTAAGACTTCGGCATCCAGTTCAGTATACCCGATGTTCCATTGATTTTCATAAATTCTGTCCACTTTTCGCCTATTGCACAAATCGTGGAGAATTTTTATACATTTAAGGTTAAAGATGCTGACTTTACAATTTTATTTAACCTAGAAGTCTACATTACATTACCCATGAAAATACTTATTTTCTAAAATTTGAAAATAATGAAGCAAAAATCGGACAATGACCATGTTTCGTTTCTCTTTTCCATCCGAAATCCTCCACTTTGCGAAATTGTGAAAAACTTTATAGTTACTACATTTTATCGAAATTATTAATTACCACATTTTACCAAGCAAAATTCATCAGAAAGAATGGATTGTATTCACAACAGAAGCCGAGCAAAAACAACTTAAAATAGAATCAGCCAACATTCAATATGAATTAAAAGTTGATTTATTCGGATAAATTTCATAAATGTACCAACATCCTAATTCTTTTTTCTACCAAATTTTATATTAGCCAACACAACGGGAATAAACTGACGATACGCGAAAAAAAAGGAAATAAGACATATTTTCGTTAAAGATGTAAGTCGTCTCAACGAAAATTTTGGAATACAAGAAATTTACACGCTGCACATTCATTTTACCGTCAAAATATATTAAAAATTCAAAATTAATATTGAAAATTCAAGCAACAAAAAAATCCTTTTTCGAGAAAAAATTAGAAGGCAATATAAAAGAAAACCCGATAACTGTACATCGAAAACAAATTTCATATATAAGTACCGTAATTGCAATAAAAAATATATGAAACCAATTTAACAAAAACGAAAAATTTACCAAATTTTAAATTCACACTAGAAATTGTGCCATGAAATGACTGCTGAGGTAGGTACCTAAAAATTGCACCGCTTACCAAAAAATTAAAACTTCAAAATTTCTTGTTGAATCTATATTTAATTCTCTAATTAAATAAAACGCTGGTTTCAAAAATTTAAGGCAAAAAATGATATAAGAATATACAAAAAATACAAGTGAATAACTTCTCTATTCAAAGAACATACAAAATTCAATGAAGATTCTAAATAAAACTTCTAAATATGATATAGAAAAGTAAAATATATGCAAGAAAGTTAAGTTGTAAATGAAAAAAATGACTGATTATAAAAAATTTTTTCGACTATAGAAAAATTTGGAAGATTTAGAAAAAAATAATTTTTCTATAGTACAATAACTTCCTGAATGGACTTTTATAGGTGAAAATACTAATATCCTAAAGTATTAACGAAATTTATTATTTATCGTGCAAAAATATAATATTTATAAATGGAATTTGACATAAAATGAAATTAAAAAATTATTAAATATTGAATATTTCAGATACAAAAAAAGGAATAATACCTATGAAAAACGCAAAACCGCAAAACCCAAATGCTTAGTGATAATCTTCAGCTCAAATGAGTAAAATATGGAGGAAAACTTAATTCGATTTCTGTTAACTTAATCGATGATTCCTTCAAAATACTAAAAAATACTGAAAAAACCCGTGATTTAAAAAAATGACACAGTTCTTGAAGAAATAAAACATTTGGAATTGTTACAAAATATTTATAAAATAATCATTCGCTTCATTTCACTTGTTTTGGAGAAAAAACGAATATAAAATGTGATAAGCATAACTTCTATTTCTTTCAGCTACACGTAAAAAATCTTCAGCGAAATCCAGACACGTGAAATTATTAAATAGTATTACAAATACCAAAAATTGCAAGAAAAAACTACTGAAATGATTAGTTGGAAAAACAATATTTAACCTAAATACAATAATGAAATAAATCATTAAGAAAAATCCATGCTTGAAGACTGATAAGAGTTGAAACCACTTGACTGGTTGCGCTGATCATCCGGTGAAAAACCAGATTGATCCCATTTAATTTCTGGCGACATTTGACCACACAGTGGCACATTACTAGATTCACACGGTGAAGGCCCAGCAGTAGAGATCATTGGATCACCCTGAATCACAATTTAATTTCACACTTTATCTTTTCTATTCTCATCGAATATTTTCCACCATAATCTTAACTTTAACAAATATCTCGATTTTTTTGGACTAAACATTTATGGATTTCATTGGCGATTGTGAATTATTTTCAAATAACTTGAAAATCATTTTAAATTTTGAAAATTTAATCAAATTTTTATAAATATATTGCTTATTTAAGAATTTCTGTTTTATAATTTGTTAACAATCACCTGCAACAAAGGTCCGCTGCTCGTAATTGCAATATCATCCATTATGAGATCTTGAAAAGGTTGTGACGGCAATGAAGATACATTACCAGATCTCCAATTTTCGCCAGTATAAGATATGTTGTCGGTAGGGCTACAACTATCCATGCTGCAATATATCATTGAAATTATGCTACTATAGCGAAATTATAACTTTCACCTATGGAAATGCAACAGTGAACAGAACCTATCCGAGGTTAAAAATCAATCATAAATTTTGACAGTATAAATGAATTTAACCTAAAATAATTATTGTCGTAGCGATCTTTTGCCAAATGCGAATTCTGAAAATTGATAGGACTTGCAATTCTCATTGCTGCTGTCGTTTCAGACAAATGCGAAAGATAAATACCAGATCCCTATAATCATAAAAATCAATTTTAGCCAACGAATTTCTTATATCTCATTGCACGAACAGTAAATATAAAGTAACCACGAGGACAAAGAGCCCAATAGCGTTCAAAATATCTAAAAATTTCAAGAACTTAAATCCATTCCCTTTGACTATAAAAGAAATCCTTTTATATGACAAAATATAGTAAATGCAATATATATAAATCTTGACCATTTCATCCTACTTTACCAACAAAAATAAAATCGATCTTATTAATATAAAATGAAGAAATAAAATCGTACAAAGCCTTGTGGTGCATTAGATGGTGATGGAGGAAGATCATCAAAAGGTTCCTGCTTGATTGTGCGACATTCCAATGAGTTTGTTGCCGAAAGAAATGAAATTGGTAAAGTAGATGATGGAGGAGGTATAGGTATACCATTTTTTAACAGACAATCCTCAAGTTCCTAAAACATTTATCGAAGCTAGGAATAATGGAATTAATGAATATGAATACTTGCAAAAAAATGCAGCTGTTCTCAAAGTAAAAAATGTGTCGAAATCATAAAAAAACTACTTATATAAAAAAATACTTTAACACGCTTTCCGTAGAACTGGAGTGCTTCTTTTAATTCAGATACTTCTTGCTGCTGTTTCAGCATTAAATCACGATCATTTTGAAGTTGCCGTATATAATCACAAGAAGCTTTTAAAATGGTACCTTTATTTAATTTCATTTCTCTGCAAATATTTTCAAAAAAAATCAACACAATTTCTTCGCTAAATTGAGCAAATGGCTTAATAAAATCGCCTTAGATTTCTAGCGAATTCGGTAAAATATTAATTAAATGATAAACGAAAAAAATAAGGATTTATTGAACCAAAATATTATATTCTAACCGATATTATAACTGATATATTCATTCTATATTCTAATTGATATAACTGATATATCATAACGTAAAAGCTATAATATTAACAAGTACGAGAATTTACCAAGAACAAATGAAAAAAAAACATACTCTGCTGAATGTTTTGGCAACATGAGGCCTAATTCTTTAATTCGATCATTTATATTATACCGACGCCTCCTTTCAACTAAAAAAAGAAAGGTCAAATATAAAAAAGGATGAAAAAAGTCGAATAAAACCAACTCATATTGTGTATATCCTTCTTGCGACGATCTCTGCAAAATTCAGGTTCATTAGACGAATCTTGATTACAGCGCACGATAGTGTCCATATCTAAACTGCTAGTTGGAGCGCTTGAAGAAACAACTTGCCGAAAAGAAGGTGAATGGATTGGTATAGAAAGTAGCGGTGATCCATCTGATCTGCCTTTAAACATTCATATTATTATTATTAAGAAGCTCTAGAAGTGGTAATAATTATTTGAGTTCTCCGTTGTTTAAAATATTTCTTCGAATATAATCGAAAAAAATTAATTACTGCTTTTATCGTCGATATTTTAACGAGAAGACATCTCGAATAAACAATTTTTACAAAAAAAAATGAAGGAATCAATTGGGCCATAAAACTTCCTAATTTTCTATTCTTTCATATTTTAAAATGAAAAATCCCTAAATTTCACTATTATATAATAAATATAATTGTTATTGTTTAAAAACTTTATTTTGTAAAATTCCCATAAAATTAAAATAAAATAACGAACTTGCAGCACCTCCAGCGTACATTCGACTACATGTATACGTTGAATGATGCGATGGCGACAATGTGGACAACCTATCTGCACAATTCGGATTATTTGTTTGCTGAAAACCATAATATCAACTTGGAAGAACTTCTTTTAATATATAAAAAAAATCTACACTCCATTTTTGATAAATTTCTTAATAAGAATGTGTTTCTAAATTTTCTTAATGAAAAAATTAAAAAATTTCACTTAAAAAATAATAAAAAACCGTTTGCAGTTTGTGCTCGTCGCGTAATCCTCTTTGCTCATCTTCCAGAGAAAGAATACGACTAATTACGTAATCATCCAGCTGAAAAAAGTATTTTCCCATGATTTTGGTGTGATGGAACGTAACTAACAAAAAAACTTGTAAATTAAAAAATTGTAAACTTCATAAATTCGAATAAACAATACTTTGCATTAAACAAGTATCTCAAATGAAAATGAATACAAAGTTAATTCTTTATATTTCTTTTTTTTTCATCATGCTGTTCTTCTTATTTCAATAATGTATAACATTAACATTAACATGACCGTTTTATTAAAATCTTTCGTAATCGAATATTTCTTGTACTTTTAACGTTGATTGATGGTGAGAAAATCAGCTTTTAATTGTCAATAAAAAAAGCATAATTTTGCAAAACAAATTCTTAGAGAATTCTTAGAGTAAAATTCTACTGTTTAGTTTTGGCGGGGAAAATATATATATAAATATATATAAATAATAATTTCTTTAACCATTACAACAACTGACTTTAGATTTTATCACTGAAAAACAAGAAAAAAAAACGGGCAAATATTTCATTCGGACAGATTGCATCAACAATAAACAATTTAGCAAATTTTCAACCAACGAATCGGCGAGCCCCAAAAACTAATTATAATACTCACTCACTTAATAGTAAATTTTCCTAACTAAAACCAAAACATCCCAAAAGAGGAAAAATGTTTTTCACTGAAAAAATTAACGAAAAAATATTTTCATTTATAAAAATTTAAATTTATAAATTTCCAATAAGAAAAAATTATTGTATCGATGGATCGCAACTTATCGCAGCAGAACATTTATTAAAGGATGCTCTCCCTAAGGGACTTCTAACTTTTAACTTCTAACTTTTAAAACAGAACTATTAAATTTGTATCCTTAACCTTAAACTAAGGAACTCTGCCTAAACTTTAATAAATCAAAGTTTAATAAAAATTTTCTTCGATGAAAACTTCAATAAAAAACAACGAAAAAAATGAAAAAAATCAAACCTCAGCTTGATTAAGTGAATCAGATTGGCTATTAAAATTATTAAATATTTGCTGATCATCGGATGGACTTGTTCTTGAAGAAATATCACGATGTAAAACATTTTGTAACGATACGGAACAACGCTTGCTGAACATATTCATCGACGAAATATTTCCTACTCGTCGCAAAATAAATTTCTTTCCTTGAAATTCCTTTTCATTATTTCTTCTCAAAAATCGTATCGCTGTGGCTGACGTTAAACGTCGCTTCGTCATCGCTAAACGTCTAACATTTTCCAATTTCTCATTATTTATTAAAAAATTATCGTTAATTTTTAAAAAACGCGTCGTCCTACTATTTACCTCGCTATTTATTGCTGTTAAACAGCGAGTTGAACAGTTGAGAATCGACGAAGAAGACGACGACGACGACGATGACGATGAAGGTGAAGATTTTAAGGAACAACGTCGACGACGGCGAAGACGATTACTGTTACTACTATCGTTTATTGTTGTTGTTGTCGTTGCTGCTACCGTTGAAAGCTGTACGGGGATAATAGATTTTACAAAATTTTCACCATCTATTGTCATAATCGAACAATTATTTACCAATAATTTGCAAACACGGGAAATAAAAATATAGAACTGCGAAAAAATATAGAACTGCTTTGGGAATAAATCAAGAACAGTTGCAGGGAAAAAAGCAGAAATCTGAGTAGCACTAACCGAGAAAACCTATTTCTGCATTCAACACCACTTTTTTTATAATTTGACGAAACGTGCGACAACTACATAAGCACAAGCACAAACCGATCAGCACAAAACACGTTCTTCTCTCTTTTCCATATAATTCATTCGCCGCTAAACAACACAATTTCTATTAATCTTTTCTTCCCAAACACTCAATAATTTCCTTTTTTACTTTGCCAATACACATCTAAAAATTTCCTCTCGTGTCATATTTCTACTGAATTTTCGAACTCTTGCACAGATTGATATATATAAATCCGATGGTTTTTCACGGACCTAACTTTTATCCCAACAAATATCTAATTTTGCCTATTATTTGCCCATTAAAATCTTTTCTTCCTCCTTCCCCGACGCAAAAATTATTGTATTCTCATTATCTTCTTTTCTTTTTTCTATAAACAAATAATATATTCTATCGATTACTGGCTTTCACCAATAATAAACATTCTTCTTTGGTATAATGCCTCATGAACTTGTCAGCACAAAAAGGGGGAGCAAAAATCGTTATACTACAGCACTGCTATTCTATTATTTAATAATAAATAGAACAATAAATGGAAACAGTTGAAATACAAATGGACAAAAACCGACGAATATTGACATATAGCAGAAATACGTAAGAAAAGTTATATCAGGCAAAGTAATAAAACATACATTTAACAACGATAATATAAACAAAGTGTATTCAACGCTAATGACTAAATGACGACCATAAAAGTTAGAAAATAAACAGTTTGTGTGGGTTAAAATAAAAAATAAATCAGCTGGCGTGAAATATTCGCGAATTGCTAAAAAACATTTTTAATATCAATTTAAAAAAAAATTCAGTATTCCTTTTAACAAATAAAATTGTAAAAAAAGGGTAACTTTCCCTTTGTATTCCTTTCATTTTTACTACTTTTGAAGTTTTGCAATTTGTTAATTTTTTATGCTATAAACAGCTCAATTGATGTTGCGATACCGTTTCACATTTACAAAAACCCATATAGGTTGCACATAAATTATAATATAAATAATATAAATAAAGAAGAAATTATTGAAATATCAAATAAAGTTCCTCAAAAATTATCCTATTCATCTGACATTTTATTTTTTAGATTATCACTTACCAATCCTAATTAAATTAAACACTTTCGAGTATTCTACAGTTAAATTTCAATCTGAACGAAAAATTATTTTGTTATTTATTATTCATCAAACTAAAATTTTTAAAAAAAATAAAAAAACCATTTCCAATCATCTAACTATTGTTCATTAATTAACTGATTAATAACTAATCATTTTAGGTTAAACATTTATTTTTAGCAAAAATACAATAAGATAATAGCCATAATTTCCAAAAAAATTCCAATTAATTATCGTGTTCAAGTTATACAAAATTATTTTAAAAAACTGAAAATGAGAAATGTGATAAATGAAGAAAATTTGACAAATTCACCGCAAATTTAATTCAACAAATATGAATTTTAAAATCTTATAGAGGATTTATTTTATTTGGATCATTGTTTTCCTTCAAGCACTCTTATTTATATTATTAAATAATATTATTATTAATATTAATAACAATGTTAAATTTATATTATTAAATATTATAATATTATTAAATAAAATATTTATATATTTATATGTTTAATATATAGAAAATAAAACTTTAACCTCAGCAAATTTTAATATAAATCAAAAAGCACTGATTATATTTAAGATGAAATTAATGAAAACAGCAAAGCCTCATAGCATCGCACTCTTATTTTTGTTGAAGGTCATTCATTATATCTCCATTAAAAATCTGCGACATATTACAGATTGAATAATTGCTAAAAACTCTAGGATACTTCTAACTACAAGGAAGCGTAAAAAAAAAACAGAAGTCACGGCTTTTACGTAATATAACATTTAGAACATTTACAACAATATTTAAATAGAATTATTTCTATTTGTATAGATAGACATATTAGACAATAACATATATATTCACTTAATTATATTCACGGACTGCACCAGACAGATAATTGAGGTAGTGACGTTGCCTAGAAGTGGTTGGAGAAAGCCTAAAAGCCTAAAAGTTGGACTAAAAGCCAACACTGAAGCATTGATTATAGCAGCATAAGAGCAAGCACTAAACACCAAATCCATCGAAACAAGCACCTACCATAGTAGACAGGACTCTAGATGTAGACTCTAGATGTTCTATGCAAAAACAGAAATAGTCCAACATATAATGATAGGACGTAAAATGCAAGCAGCAGTAAAATGCAACATAAATACACTGAAAGGTATAACCAAGTAAGTGGCATCATCTACAGGACCATTTGCTGGGTATATGGTTTAGACCCCCCACAATACTAAATGTGAGATTTCTCAGAAAATCGTAGAGAATAACAAGGCGAAGATCCTGTTGGATTTCGCCTTCCAAACAAACAAATGAGTACTGGCCAGTCAGCCAGATATTGTGGTAAAGAATCAGAAATTAACATTGGTGATAGATATAGCAATACCAAGCGAAAGGAACATCAGGATGAAGGAATATGAAAAATTAAAAAAATGCCAGGGAAGGACTGAGAAAGGAATTAGATATATGGAAAATGAAGGCCAAAGTAGTCTCAGCAATAACTGAAGTACTTTGAATTATAAAGCTAGGAAAGTGGCTTCAAGAAACTCCAGAAATAACATCCGACATATCCAGAAGAGAGCACAGCGCATTACTGGGAACAGATGCTATGTAGAAACACCCCCGAACTCCGGGGCTCTGGTAGAGGACTCGAGGTTGAAGATGACCATGATAACCCACAGAAGATAAGAAAACTTTTTTTATTTAATCGTATATGGCAAATTAAAGATATTAAAATTTTTCAAA